CACCAGATTTTCAACCACAGAGAGGAAGTAACCCAGTAGCCCAGTATGCTGGGAAATGTAGCCTGGTCAAGTAATTCCCTCTTCTCTGTGTGTCTGGAGAAGTGTAGAGATTTTTGTTGTTGTTGGAGTGGAGGTGAGGGAAACTTGAACCAAAGACATTATACATGAATTGTATTCCTAAAAGAAAAACTGAAAATATTGACCACAGAAAACCTTATGATACACAATCTCACATTTGAAAAGTGTTTGATGGCCAAAGTTACAAAGTAAGAATCATTTCAAGAATTTTTTTAAAGAGCCTTTTAGTGATACAAATTAGAACTCATATTCAAGGTGAGGAAATCTCACCCTCAGTTTTTAGTTTCCTACTTAGAACTTCTTGGTGGTTCTGTGGAATAGACCTCAGGCTCACTGAAAGCAGAAAAAAATCATTGGTTTTTACCAGGCCCAAAACAGCAAGTTTTCTGGTGGTAGCTATGAGTCACAGCTGGAATGTCCTGTGGTTAACATTCTGCACTGAAAACAGAATCAAGAGCAGCAAGACACCAACTGGTTTCCATGGTGACTGGTATTTGTGTACTTTGAAAAATGACTGTTACTTTTTGTGTGGTGAGTTTACTCAGGAATAAATTGTGGAGGTGACGTTAGCCGTCTGTGTGAATATAAACAAAAAATCTGATTTAATTAAATATAAATGTTAAAAGGACATAAGACTGAGGGAATGGGGTGCCCCCCAGTAAAGAATTGTTGTGCACTAATTAATTCATTAATTTATCTGACATTTTATTTAAGCATTTTCAAATCTGTCCACTTAATGTTTATTGTAATGTATCATTCCATTCTTCCCAGATGATGAAGACACTTAGTTATCATTCATCAGAGTTGCCAAAAACCCATCCTCCTTGGCCACCTGCCCTGCCCAGTCCCATGCACAATGCACTACTTTAAGACCACTGGCTTCTTGCATTTAGGGGATCTTCTTTGGTGAAGAAATCCCATTAAACAGAAGAAAAATTTCCCGCTACATCATGTAAAAGGACACAGCTCTTAACCCTGTTAAGCAATGGAGGAAAACAATGTTCTATACTGAATTATAGTGTATAATGACCTTGTATGTTCCTCGGGTTGCTGCTATCCAGTGCTTACTATAATGCACCATGTTAAGGGTTCTTATGGTTATAAAGGAGTTTACCTTAAGTTTTGCAGGTTAAAGATGAAGTAATTGCAGCTTTCGTCATTACACCACAACCCAAAGTTAGAATCTCTTGGGTTTAGAGACTCTAAGTGAAAAACTTGTTTATTATGTCAGTATTTGGAGACAGTGTATTTTTGTATTCAGTTTCAAAGCAGACTTCATGCAATAAAATTAATGAAAACTCTCAAATTGAGAGAAATATTCTGCAATGAGACAGTGACTCAGGAGCACTCCCAGGGCAGCCTGTGAGTACTCCCGGTACAGCCTAGCTTTCTTTTGCCCCTACCTCCAGTTTGCAGAAGGGGACAGAGCCCAAGACTTGAAATGAAGGGCTTTTGCTTTTATTTCTTCTTTTCTGATTTTTTGTTGCATTTACTTTCTTTCTTTCTCTCTTTCTCCCTCCCTCCCTCCCTCCTCCTTCTTCCTTCCTTCCTCCCTCCCTCCTTTCTCTCTCTTTCTCTTTCTTTCTCCCTCCCTCCTCCTTTCTTCCTTCCTTCTTTCCTTTCTTTCTTTCTTTCTTTCTTTCTTTCTTTCTTTCTTATCTTTTTCTTTCTTTCACTCTCCATCCTTTGTCTGGTTCTTGTCAATATGTAGTATTCTCAGAGTTTGTACTACTAAAGAAAACACCATGTCCAAAAGCAACTTGGGGAGGAAGGGGTCATTTCAACTTGCAGCTCCACATCACAGTCCATCACTGAGGGAAGTCAGAGCAGGAACCTGGAGGCAGGAACTGGAAGCAGGGGCCATGAAGGAACACTGCTTACTGACTTTCACTTCTTGGCTTGCTCAGCCTGCTTTCTTAGAGCATCCAGGACCACCGGCCCAGGGATTGCACCATCCACTGTCAGCTGCCCCCTCCCACATTATTAATCAAGAAAATGCTCCCTCCTTAGGCTTACCAAGAAGCCAGTCTGGTGAGGGTGTTTCTCAATTGAGGGTCTATCCTCCCAAATGACTAGACTGTCAAGTTTACATAAAAGTACCCAGTACATGTAGTATACTAGAAACCTGATAAGATTATGTTTTTAAAGTAAGAGTATTTATTAACAAAAAGAGAGGTAAAATAATAAACCTGAGAAATGAGTACTATCTTATTTGTTTACTTAAAACACATGGATTTAGTACCAAGTGGTGAATGGCATATTGGATTCTGCTTCCCATTTAAAATCTCTGCAGACCTTCCTCACATCTCACAAGCATGATGAACAATTGGTTGAGAATTTGATGAGATGGACCAACATTCAGAAATCATTATTTGTTATGACCCTGAATAGGATGACGCCTAGGTCCCCACTCTGCAAAATGACTTCAAAGTGATCCTTTTACTGCACAAAATTATTAGAATGATACTTACAATTTACAATTGTATGATTCAAATTCTTATCTAACGATACAGAGGTAGTAGTACAAATTAAGTCCTTAAAGTAAATGCACTGGTGGTAGAAACCAGAGTGTCCATTCACTGGATTTGTACTGGAATCCACCCTCACAATGTTCTGCCTTTAACAGAGGGAAAAGAAATCCAGGAGTGGCCTGCTCCCTAAGGAAACTCATAGTCAGTAGGGGCAAGAGGATTCTGTGCCCATCACTAACAAGGGAAGGGTAAGAGGTGATACCATGCTCTGCACTGGGAAGGGAGGGGATGTGACTGCCTGCCTAGAAGAAGGACAAGCCAAGAGCTAAGGTTTTACTAGGCATGGTGGCTCAACGCTATAAACCCACTTCATGAGACCCAGAGGCAGGTGAATTGCTACAAGTTTAAGCCTTATTAGGCTACATGGTAAATTTTCAGCCTTTCAGGGCTATAGAGGGAGTCCCTGTCTTAAAACAAACTAAAATAAAAACCCAAGGTTCATTCAAAGGTGAAAAAGATTCACATGTAATTATTGAAATTAGGAAAGGTGCCCACTGAAGTACTTTGTAAAATGTGGATGTAAGGTTTTCATGTCTGAGTCAATGTGTTTAGAGCACATATATCACATTTTAGTTAATAAAAGTAACTTCATCAGTTTGAAAGCCATTGAGTTCATATTAGCCATGTACTCATAGAGGCACCAAAAGTGCAGCCACTAAAAACTAGTACCCAGGGAAGGCTGAGGATAAAGCTCGGTGACAGAGTGCTTGCTGGCACATGAGACAGGCCAATCTCCATTGGGAAAATATCCTGGAAAGAAGACTAATCAGAGGCCAGACACAGCAGTCTTTAATCCCAACACTTGGGAAGCAGAGGCAGGTGGATTTGAGTTCAAGACCAGTGTGGTCTACAGAGTGAGTTCCAGGACAGTCAGAACTATATGGAGAGAATCTCAAAAACAACAACAAAGAGTAATCAGGGAACTTCATTTTGCAGATATGTTCCATTTTGTAATCACAGGCAGCTCTTTCTAAGGGTAACCAGAACAAAGTGATTAATTTGGATTCCTGGGGATGAAGAGGAAATATAATGGTTTGCCACAAGGAGGTCACATTTTGAGGATGGCATTCGTTTTCCTAAGTGGAAAGAGAAAAATGGGTTTCTCATTCTTTTAAGTCAGGTATCTGTCTGTCTATCTATCTATCTATCTATCTATCTATCTATCTATCTATCTATCCATCCATCTATCTCTATATAGTGATATGTTTATTAAATGAGACATCAAGAAGGCTGTAGAAATATGTCCATGGAATGATGAGCAATGACATGAGCAGAAAACTCCATGTAATGAAATTTAAATGGTCATTAGACATATGTGCAGAGGGAATCCAAAAGGCTTTAGTCTTGTGGTAGTCAGCCTAACAAAAATGGCAATAATTGCAGAAGCAGTTTTTCATTCTTAGCATTAGTATTTCCAATTTTATGTTTTAATACGTTTGTGTGTGTGTGCTTCTCAGGCAGTTATTTTACTTTTTTTTTTAATTCTGGTTCATTTGTTTTATAGTTGGCCTGTTTTCTAAACAGAGAAAGAGCTTAGAGTTGGATGGGTGTGGAAGTGGGGAGGATAAGGGAGGAAAGGGAGGAAAGGGAGGAGGGGAAACATCAATCAGAATATATTGTATGAAGACATTATTTTAAAGTAAAATAATTGGAATATTTAGAAAATAAAAAAAGTAAAAATAATAGCTGTCAAATTTAGCCAACTTCCATAGAAGAAACATGTCTATAAAGTGCTGGTGTGATTTTTAGTTTGATACAAACTTTCTGCTAAGAAATTTAATAATATTACAAAACATCAAAAAGTATACTTTTGGAATCTTTATTGGAAGTTTTAACAGAAACCTTTAAAGTATCAGATATTTATGTTAACAAAAATCAGAAGCCATTTTCAATGAATGGGAGAATTGCAATGAAGATATCATTGACATTTTTTGTTGCTGGTGAAAGCTCTCACTTGGTGCTGGCAATGTAGTTTAGTTTGTATAGGGCTTGCCTGGAATACACAAAGCCCTGTGTTTGATCCCAACACAGCATCAACCTTGGTCCTGCACACCTGTCATCCCAAACTTGGAGGGATAGAGTCAGGAGAACCAGAAGTTCATTGTTAGCTACATAGCTAATTCAGGGTCAGCCTATTTCCCTATTCTGGATTTTAATTTGGACTCATCAGATTAATAGAAAACCAAAATTAGTAGTTTAATTTTCACATTTATTGGGTTTAGTAATCCAATCTTTCTCTCAAACACTGTCTAGGCAATTAATCTTTAAATCTTATAATAGCCCATGAGAGCAGATTTGCCTTCAACTTTTGAACCAGTCCTTCTCCTTGAAAACAAAGAAACAAAAACATGGGCAGTGTTTTTACTTTGTGAAATTTTTCTTTGGTTTCAGCTCTATGATGGACCACAAAAGATAGGACGCTACTGTGGAGAAGATATCCCCCCATCAGGGGCCACCACAGGCTCCAAGCTTCATGTACTGTTCTATACAGATGGTCTTATATCACCTCATGAAGGATTTAAGATGCAGTGGTTCATTCATGGTAAGTCATATGTTGGTCTTGGTTGTTGTAGTGACTCTTATTTGGTCAAAAATTGTTTCCTTATCTATTCTATCCTTGGGTACAGTAGCATCAACAAATAATGAAAGCAGAGAGAAGTCCCGGTCCCTACTTCAAATGACTGGAAAGATTTACATGACCCCACCTGAATGGCATTGCCCTACATGTGGAATTGGGGTGGGGGGATTGGAGGGGAAAATGGTCAGGTTCACGTGATGGGGGAGAGAGGATAGAGGGAGGGAGAGAAGGAGAGGGAACTGGGATTGACATGTAAAATATTAAATTAAATTAAAAAAATAATGAAAGCAAAGTAGTAGCAAGAGCTAGGCTTAAGATAACTTATTGAGATAGTTGTGGAATATGGGGAGTTAAATTTTGATAGGGTTCTGAGAAGAAATGGTTGAAATGATTAAAGCAGAAGTAACTCGGACAACTAACTGCTTGAGCAGGTAGTATAATAATCTGCCTTAGAACAGACGCATTACAAAGTGGCATGGAAGTCTCTCAGGTTCAATAGATAAGAAAGTGACTTAAGGCTCACCTTGACATTTGTCAGAGAAAGAATGATCAGGATAATGTAAAGAATGAGAGTCAGAATGGTCAACAAAGGGGGAAAGAAGGGCTGGAATGAGGGAAACAGCAGAAAATTTGAGTTGGATGCAAGAGTCCAGGCTCATGCCTTGTATCTGCTAAATGGAGTAGGGACACACTGAAGCCCACCTACAAATGAGAGGTTGAAGAAGCAGGCAGAGACAATTATTTCTCTAAAAGTCAGTATTAACAAGAGAGATGAGTCTTCAAAATTGATCTCCTGTGGGCCAATGTACAGGTGGATGGTCCCAGAGCAATGGTTTCAAAACATGCTTTCTGGTAACAGTAACAGTGCAAGGAACTTTACAAAAATGCAAATTCTTAGTCCCTATGCAAGTAGGCCCAGAATAGTATCTTAGTTGAGCTCCCTGGTGATTAAGATTTAAAAGCTATTTATCTAGGATAATCCAACTTCCAAAGAGCATCAGAGCAGTAATTCTCAACCATTTAACCACAGTGCTAGGATTCATGGTGAACTTCAGTAAATCAAAGAGACATAGTGTTGCAATGCTGCACCAGAAGTCTAAGCAGATGCCTAAACTGTAATCCTCCTATTAAAATCAGTGGAAAGGCCCCGTGAAACGTCTCACTTGGTGAAGTTAAATCCCTGAACCCAAGCCAAGCACAATAGCTTTCTCTTATAATCCCAGTGATGAAAAGATAGGAGGTGAGGATGAGCAGACCCTTGGAGCTCACTAACCAGCTGGCCTAGCCTTCTTGGAAGAGTTCTAGATCAATGAGAGACCTTGTGGGAAATTTCTAAGGACCAGTTCTTACTATTGTACTCAGACTTCTACCTGGTTGTGTATACAGTATGCATCCCTGTCATGAGCATGCATAAGTAAATGTACACAGAAACAAATAGAGAGATACAGAGAGGAAGAGGGGGAGAAGTGTGGGGGGGAGACAGCGGAAGAAAGGGAAGAGAAAAAGAGGAGAGAGAGTGAGGGAAGGAGAAGGAGATAAAGGGGGAGAAAGGAAGGGATGAAGAAAGAGAAAGAGGGAGGAAGAGAGAGGAAGGGAGGGAGAGAGAGAAAGAGGAAGGAAGGGAGAGAGATGAAGGGAGAGAGAGTTGCAGGCAATGTTTTTGCTAACTGTTCTCTTTATTCAAGAGGCTGCTCACCCTCCCCTCTAGGCTCTAGCCACTCTGGCTAGAAGCCACCCTAAGTGTGTGATGGGATGGTCGTTACTGGCTACACCCAGCTTACTCTGTCATTGGTTTCTTTTAGCCAGAATGCCAAGTCCTCTGCTGAAAGTTCTAACATTTTGTTGAGCCAAGATTTTTCTTTCACTTCTATTTGGAATCTGTCTTCTTTTAAGAGAGTCAAAGACACCCTCTGTCTATTCTCTTTTCCTGTTTATTATTGCAAAATTTTCCCCCATTTGATGAAAATTTGCTAAACTCAGAGTTAGTTATGCAACAGTATATTACTAGTTAGGACTAAAAATGAAAAAAAAAAAAATAACTCTGTATTGCCCTCTGTATATAAATGGGATTTGACAATAATCTTCTGGAAGGAAATCATCAACAGTTTAAATCAATACAAAATTAATTAATGTCACATGTTATCATCATGCCATACTTGTTTTTCTTATGTCCTGTATCTGAACCATGTAACTTGACATGGCTTGAGAGGAGGAGTCAACAGAGTAAGTCAGGCAGAAGGTCTTCACTGAAAGTGGTACCCTGATTATCTATTAGATAAAACCTGAAGACAAACATACAAACATTCTGGGGAATGTTTTCATACCAGATACCATGCTATGACTCGGGATACAGATCTATGTGCACACACTGAAACTTTTCAATTCCCACAGCCATTGCAAGTAAGGGAATGCCTTAAGCCTGCAAATGAATATGCACAATTAAATCTGGCAAGGGCTGAGGGAATACACAGAAGGAGACTGGGTGCGTTTAGAACAGGCAGGCAGGCAGGCAGGCAGGCAGGCAGGCAGGCAGGCAGGCAGGCAGGCAGGCAGGCAGGCAGACAAGTCTTCTATGGAATTGCATCCTCTGAACTAAATCCTGAAAAATAAGCAGGTGCTTTCTGGCAAAATAAGGAAGAGAAAGGAATGACCCAGTGATATCCTTATATATATGCAGGGGGAGCAAGATGGCACTAACAAGTCATAGGTGTTTAGGTCAAGGTCAAAGGAAGAAGCACTAGAGGAGGCTAGAAAGCTGAGCAGTGGCTACCACAAGCTGGTCCCATAAGGCACAAACTCAAACCATAGAGGCCAGTGTTTTCCAACATGACAATTTTTTATTCTTCATAAAAACAGGTCTTGGGTAGGACCCCCAAGGATGGAGAAGCATGACAAATTGTGGAACTTAAAATACAGGATACAATACAAAATGCAAACTGAACATAGTCACTATCACTAAACAACAGGGGCATGTTTCAAGCACTGCAGTGCTAGTTCATTTCATCATAGTGAACATCTCAGTGTTCACACACTGAAAATGTTACAAGGTCACCTGGTGACATAATCTGTGGAACTATCCAGGTTTGTGCTGCCCATCCTTGTCTGAAATTCACCCTGCAGCATGTGACTCTCAGTCTTCACATGCAATACAGATGCTCTTATATATGTTTGTGTGTGCACAAATGCATATAACACATCAGTAGACAAAAATCAAAGACAAATGTCTGCATTGTCCTTCTGGGCTTGTGCTCAGTCAGCAGAGGTATCAAGATCCCTAGCCTGGTCTGGCCCTAAGTATCTCTTCCTCACCTGGCCAGATGTGTGATGTTAAAGCTCTTTCCTCTTTCCATTAGAATCAAATCACAGGAAGTCCTTTCCCCACTGGCTGGCTCCATTCCAGACTATGCTATAAGAGAGCTCAGCAAAGCTTGCAGATTACAACATTGACAATGACATCATTTCCTGAACACTGTGGCTCAGGAACCCTACACACTCCATTCATTTTGCTCAGTAATAAATAAATCCGTTTACCCAGTATGCCTTTTTTTCAACAGCACAAAACTTCTGTTTACTTTAAGAAAATGGATCTACAAGCGGGCTTTCTCTGTGGGTGCATTTTGAAAGTGGCTCTGTGGTTGCATGATAAAGCCCACACTGCAGTCCCTTTTATGCAGATCTTCAAAGAGAATCCCACCCTAAAAATAAAGAAATGGCCATGGCCGCCCTGCCAGGCTAATCAGTTCACAGAATTTAACATTGACAGCATTGTTCAGAAGCTGAATTCTATCCTGGGAGCCTGGGTCTGGGCTGCTGAAGGTGTATAGAACTTTCCATAAGTTGTATGAATAGGAGGTCCCAGCCAGCTGCACACACCCCTCCGCTCTTCCCCTGCCACTCTGGAGGCCTCCCCTCACTTGGCAGAGGACTACAGAATACAAACAAGGTCAAGGAGCTTTCTGAACAGAGAGTGACATTTGCAAAGGCAGCAGGCACTTCATTTATGGAGCCAGCAGGGAAAGAGCTAAGAGCCATGTGAGCAGGAGGTGATGTCATCCTGAACTTCCACAATGGAAAGTGTGGCTTTTTCTTTGGGGAGATAGATGACATCATCCTCTCAGATGGGGGCCACTCCATTCTATTCTCTTTTTAGTTGCTAATGAGATTTCTGGGACCCAAGAGTTTTCAGAAATTGGTTTGGGGGAACATTTTAAATCATTTTTTCAAGGCCCTCCATGAGTGATTAGATTTGAAAGTTAGTGCCTCATTGGTTAACTGGACTTCTCAAAGTAACTTTTAAAATGCTAGCCAGGAACCTCCATAAAGTAAGCCATGATTCTTTTCAACCTGCATTCCAACTCTTGATAATAGCTTATGGCAATTGTTGGTCTTTCAGGGGAGTTCCTTCTAACTTAACACTTTTACTTGTTTTTGTAACTTGGAATTGTGAGCTGGTCTTCTGGGGGCACTCAAGTTTTAACTGTATGATTCTGTTATTTTTTTTTTTCTTGCAAACATGGATGCTGGGTGTTCCGTTTCTTAGAGTAAATTAGCTGGGCTCTGTGGGTAGTTGCAGAGGGATGGCACACAGCATATATGATCCCTGTTTTAAAAAGAAAACAGTCTTATTCTTAGAATATACAGATAACAGCATCCTAACATAGCATAGGCACATGCAGTACACAGAAGATAGGATATCTTGGTATTAAATGCCTCAGGTGAAAAATTAGAAAATATCTTAAAAGGCTCCATGGGGGCCAATAATGAACAGAAAGTTGGGAAACACTAAGCAAAGCATATGATAGAAATTAAGATAGGACTGGATATCCAACTGATAAAAGACAAGTACAAAAATGCACAATTTTTGCTGCCACCAGAGAAAGAACATAGGTAGATTTGTTTTTGTTTTGTTTCCTATTGCTAGGGATGAATTTCAAGGCTTTCAACATGCTAGGCAACAATCTGTT